CCCCCCCCATGGCGTGAGCACGTGCAGGTACGTTCTTGTTGTCTCCGCGTACTCTACTCGAAAAACCCACTCGTATCTCGTCGCGATATACCCTGATACCCCTCCACCATCTTTTAAATTTTCAAATATTTAGATTTTAGAAAAAGAAAATTAACAGAAAATTAAGAAAAAAAATAAAAGCAGAGAAAGAGGTGGGGATGGAAATGCTAACGTGTACGGAGGGTGTTCGAGGGGAGGAGAGTCTGCCAGACTTTGACCTCTTTTGGGGCCCAAGTGCCCAACACGAGTCCCAACGGACCTCGTTAAAAACCAAACCCAAAATGACCGAACTGCCCTCCCTATTTCTTCGGCACGCCAAGACTTATTCTCAAACACAGAATCAGATACTGCCACGTGGAGGGTGGATCTAAAGTGTAATTTGCAAAAGAGCCTAGACACTACCAGAGAGAGAAAAAGGATCAGATCTTGGTCAATGGTCTATTCTCTCCATTTCTCTTCCCTTCTCTAATTTTGCTTTGCCGTATTGCTGCTTCTCTTTTTTTACCTCTCTTCTTCAAAAGAAGCAAAAGATTTTATTTTTTAAATTGAGGAAGGAGATAAATATATAAAGAGAGCAAACAAAGTTGAACAGAGACACACCAACGCATCTTTCTTGTGCTTTTCTCTCCTTTTCATGTCTTCTCTCACTGCCCCCCAACCCCCCTTCCACTGCAAAAGCAACAAGACCCTAAATGAGAGAGGAGAGAGAGAGAGCGAGCGAGAGAGAGAGAGAGAGAGAGAGAGGTGGGTCTGGTTCTGGGTTTGGTCTGGTCATGTTCATCACAAGATTTCTTTATTGGTACACAAGCCAAGATAGATGTCTTCTAAAGAGGAAATAAAGAAAGAGAAAACACAAGAAGAGAACAAAAAAAATATCTTAGAATTGCAAAATCTATCCTTTAGCTGTACACTTCTTATTTTCCAATCCCCATTTAAAATCCTCTCGGAAGCATCCTCACTGTTTTCCTGTATCTATCTTCCGAAATCCTCACATTTCTTGATTACCCAAAAAAAAAGAAATAAAGAAAAAAATCAGAATCAAATTCTCCCCCGCCCGTTTAAGACATTTACAAATCCATCCATCAAAGACCCACCACCCCACCCAGTGTTAATGGCTGACCTCTAAATTTCAGCCATGAAAGACAGACAAATTATCTGCAAACTGCCAGTTGGTCCCACCGAGGCTCAGGGGCTGCTAACCGGCCACCGCTGGGGACCATACTATATCCCCTGGTTCAAGCTCCGAGGGATATGGCCTGCAACTCGATCAGCTGATCGATTGATCATGGTGTTCCTGTCTGGGAATTTTACCCACTTGATCACCTGTCCTCTATAAATATTCTGCGGATGAAATCTCTGAACCTCTTTGAGTAGAGCTTTGGATCAACTGCAGATATGGAGGTTGGGTCGGCCTGTAGGGACTTATAGGCATGCTCTAGCTTCTTGCTGATGTCGTAGTCTTGGAGTATGTCAATGATCCCAAAGTAGAGGATCACTTCATAGATCTCACCAGTACCACGCAGTGGGGTTGTATTACCGCCCCCTCCTGGATTGAATTGCTCAAAATCACTCCTTCTGACCACCTGCTCTGCTCTTGCAGGCATATTTGCGCCCAAGCGAACAAACGGTTTCCTGTAGGAATGAAAGTGAAACACTCAGTACTGCAATTTTCGAAAACAATCAAACAGAACCATCTCCAAGGGAATTATATAATACTAAATTTCTAATATAAAAAATCAGGGTTTTGACCATTCCACTGTATTATGCATTCTCATTTCCCATTGTTGATGGATGGAGGAAAATAAAATTTGGTTATTTGATTAAAGCCCTCAGTTTGAATAAGTTGACTTGATCAAGACTTTTATGATAGGGCGCATTGACATCATAATGAAATTTATTCTTCAATTTTCAAGAAGTGTGTCCGATAGAAATCAGGAAAACTGACCATAATAGAAACCTTTGTTCTTATCAAGAAAGTTAAAAATATCATCCTGCACATACCCCACCTACAATCTAGTATACTAACCCAAATCCAGATTCAACAAGACAAAACGAGCCACTTTCAAGCATTCCTAACATTATCAAGCTCAAAGGAATTGAACAATTTGCTTGTCCCTGACCTATCTGCAAAATCTAAGAGAACTCCCAACCACAGGATATAAGTGGAGGTCGGCTTGTCTTATCGTAAGAAATATTCTTGGATGATGGAAACAGCAGAGCTAGAACCATTTCTTTTGATCCATAGCAGAATATAAGAGCATCCAAGTTTCAATATGAAACATAAACTAAAAACAAGCCTTCCCTTTCTAATTTCAAGAAAGGTGACCTTGGGATGGAATGAGATAACAATCTATACCCAGAATGGACAACTGAAATTTAGAAATGAAGAAAGAGCTGAAAAACATACCGGTTATTCAGAATCTGGTCCATTTCCTTTGGGGTTGCTTCAAAGAAGTTACACCCATAGAAACCCTTCTGATCTTGAGACGAATCCCTCTTGCCTGAAAACAGCAAAAGCGCATCCAATTTCAGCTGTGTTTACCTTAGGAGCATCCATCACCCTATCAAGAAGAATCTAATAATACAAAAACAGCAAAATAAAAATAGAAATGGTACAATCCATACCAGAAGGTACAACTAATGGAGAGAGCAGCATCTTATCGCCTGAGTATTCATCACAGAAGTGAAGACCAACAAGAAGACTGTAATCCATTATCCTTTCCGCTTCCAAGAACTCACAGTCTCTATCAATTTGTCTGGATAAAACCAGTAAACAAATGTCATCAAAACCATCATAAAACAAGACCCCAGATTAAGGAAAAGAAAAACAAATTCTATTAATATTTGTGCTGCATCTCCACTAACCTGATGAGCTCTTGGAACCAAGACCTTTGCAGGCGAAAAACAAAATTGAGATCAAGATCCTTGAGGGTGGTAGTTTCATCGATTTCCCCCTCCGGTTTGTCAGTTGTTCGGCCATGGGAAGATCCCTTCAAGTCAAACCGCCTATGAATGCGATACTCCGAGCAAAATAAATTTCCCATCACAATGAATCGAGTCTGGTTTCCAATCATTCAAGTATAATATTAGAGAAATGCATTAACAAACCACTTAATAAAGAGAACTGTAATCAACCAAAGCATACCTTCTGACCGCCCACGGGCTTGACACAATGCACGCCAAAGAACTTGGTGACCAGGGAGTTCTCATAGCGACAAACGTGTTGGTAGTAACTTGGAAGCATTCTAAGAAGCACCTGAACAGAGATTACCCAAAAGTTATAGCCATTGCCCCAAATTCAAGCAAGGTGGGCATGGAAGTTAGGAGGGAGAAAGAAACTAAAGCTGCAAGTTCGTCCTAGATTTAGCATAGAAAGGACTTTTGTCTATTGAACTTCAACAGAATGAGAAGTCAGAGAGGGTAGGTGACTGACCTTTACTTCAGATTTTTTCACGGTCTTGATCATGAACCGATCATCCTGAGTAAGATAAAAGAAGCTTCCACTCTTCCCTGGCGAAGAAAGCTCTCTCAGCGCATCGTTTCCGCAAATGGCTAGCATGTAATCCGCGGGATCTATCTGGAACAACTCCCTCAGATGCCTGAACACCCACGAAACCATAAGCAAGGGAAATTTAATATAGAGGCAAGACCCGAATGCTTGAGAACCAGAACATTGGATCCAATCAAATTCAAATAAACCACTGAATATGCAAACGGAAAGCAAAAGCTACGATGGTTATTCCTTTTTCAAGAGAATCAATACCTGAATACCATCGGGCAGTAGTCCTTCCATCTGAACTCCACAGACTGATGAGGTGGAGTAACCTTTGATCCCTCCGGTGGAAACCTCGTCCAGTACTTCTCCCTGGGATCGAAATCAGCCGGCCGAAGGTCCCGGGGTCTTGAAGCAGGCTTTCCAACCGAATACCTAGAAGGAAAACACAACCCAAATTTTTAGAATCTGCAAAAAACCAACGACCACAATATGAGAATCATTGACCAATCTGTTTGACAAACTACCTGATACCCAGTTGTAGATTAAGCATCAAATCATAGTTCTTGTGCCCTTTGGATATCGTCTGACCGGGTTTCTTAACCTCGCCGGTGAAACAACATGGACTTCTCCGTCGTAGAGCATCCAGTCCCTGATCCAAATTCGTTCCGTCTCGATAAAACATCGACGCCTCTACATTATCTACGATATCACAAGTAATATCACCAGCTTCCCCATCCGATTCCCAAATGCAAATCCGAGGGAAATTCCTCTCAGCCAAGCTCCCCCTCGCTCCATCAACCGAAGACCTCTTCCTGGTAGACAGCAGAAAATTATCTTCGGCCAATGGACTTCTCGGGTTACAGCTCCAATCCTTAACAGTGCCAGGGTAGTAAGTGCCATTGAGCTGCTGGTGTTTGAGATCTTTACCCCAACTACCCACGTAGCGGCTCCCGTCCGGCCACGTGAAAACCCCATTTCCCTTCGGAACGCCGTTCTCCCACTGGCCATCATATCTATTCCCATTTGCCCAAATCAAAACCCCCTTGCCGGAAATCACGCCGCTCTTCCACTCTCCTACGTACTCATTCCCGTTCTTCCACACATACCTCCCTTGCCCTTCCTGCAAATTACGCCTCCACGAACCCTCGTACACATCACCATTCGCGTACCGTTTCTCACCAAACCCATGCTTCCGATCYGCGCTCCAAGAACCACGATACATATCTCCGTCGGAGCCGATAAAGGTACCAAACCCATCCATTCTCCCACCCTTAAATTCGCCTTCGTAGGTAGCCCCCGACGGCCACGAGAACTTACCCTTCCCACAGGCCTTCCCCCTCCGCCACTCCCCTTCGTACATGCACCCGTCCGTCCAGAGATACTTTCCCGTCCCCTGCGGCACGTTCCCGACAAAGCTTCCCGTGTAGAGATCTCCGTTTGGGAGAGCCTTCTCTACGAAGGCGCTCGCAGTGGCGTCGACGCCGGTTGTTGGAACTCCGAACGCGGTACTGGTAATGGTGGTTGTCGGTGCTACCCTTCTAGTACTAGCCTGAGATCGGCTCCGACCGACGACGAACGGTGGCGGAACCACCACGGCTGTAGTCGCTGCTGCTACCTCGATCACTTCTTTGTTATCTCCTTCAGATTTCTTCTTCTTGTTACCGTTGGCGCTACTGTTGTTTAGTTCTTCGTCAACCAACGAAGTTTCTCGCATTTTCGATTTTCACCACTCAAACTCGCCGGAATCCCGCCGGAACATGCAGCTTCAGCAGCATTTTCCCGGCGACTTCCTCTCTCGCTAGACTCTATCTATTTTTTCACTCGTTCACTCTTTCTTTTCTTGCTCTCTCTCTCTCCCCCCCTCTCACTCTCTCTCTCTCTCTCTCTCTCTCTCTCTCTCTCTCGTCAGTCTTTTGCTCGAACAACTGCTGAGAAATGAGAATCCTACAGACACAAGCAGAGAAGATGGACGAGTATAGAAAGAATGAAACCCAAAATCCCAGAAAAAAAATAAAGCGATAAAAAATAAAGGAGAGAGAGAGAGAGAGAGATGTCGTTGGCTGGTCCGGCTTTGTAAGCTCTTTATTCCATAATGACGGTTTCATCCTTACCTTTACTGAAATTCCCCTCAGCAGTGTGATTTCATCGTGACGTGACGGAATCGCAGGTACAAGAATGTAATTTAGGAAAAAGAAATTACCCTTGGAGAGCTGTAGAAATTACAAAGGACTGGTAATTAATGAAAATTACAAAAGCGCCATTATCAGGGGGTAAAGCTGCTTTGGATGGACGGACAGTGGTCCAGCGAGACGTCCAAGGTTTGACGATTTTCTTCCCCGCTGGCCGTGAGAGAATCCATTATTCCATTCCATATCCTCATATGTTTCCTTATGTTGGTAAAGTCATGTTTGGGAGCACTTTTAGTTTAATTGATTTTTTAGAGCCTATTTTTTATCAAATAATGTAACTAATATTCTTAGTAGAGAATTTGAGAACATTTGGAGCCCAAGCTCATTATGAGAGCTATGCATATGCAGTGTTACTAAAATAGGTCTAAGATCTTTTATCAATTTATCCTTTTTACATATTTAGTTAAATATCACATGCAAGAAGAGAGAGAAAAATGGATTGGAATTTTGGGATGGTCACTTGGACGTGACGCCAAGGTCATAGGTCCACATGTATCATAGGGGGCCATGAAATGATGTGAAGGTGGGATATATCTGGTACTTAATTTGAATAATTTAGAAACCCCACTCAAAATTTAAAATATGCTTAATCTCAAGGCCTAAGTTGAGGTAAATTTTCAAGTCTAAATTAGGATTGGATATTTGAAGAATTTATACAATGGGCAAAGTTCAATGTATCTATACACCTCAATAACGTGCAAAACCCTAATATGCACATATCAAGATTTTGCACCATGTGCTCCTTTTTTTATTTTTTTAGTTTTTAATCTTAAAATCTCATAGGGTTGGTCTTGGGCTCGTGAAAATGAGTATTTTGAAAAAAAAAAAAAAGCCTTTAAAAAAGTATATCAATCATATGCCAAAATAACATAATATGCTTAATACAGGACATATCGTATCGAAATTTTGAATTATAACAATGAGACATATCTATTAAAATTTGAAAAAAAAAAATCAAACTCAATTCCAATGACCCAATTAAAATGGCCAATTGGCATCCCCCGTAGAACAAACATGCATAGAATTGTAGGTTATGTGAGATGATATGACCAGTGGACCTCACATGCACCCGCATTCCTTATAATACGAACTATGTAATACCCCAAACAGAAGTTGCACCCTCAATCCAAATGACTACTTGTGTGGAATTATCGGAGGTTAGACCCTATTCAGTCCACCCCTCTTAAGACTCAAGATGGTGAAGACCCGCATTAGATTATGGCCTTTTTCACCAGTCTTAATTCATTTCCGTGGTCCAATGCTTAATTGGAGTTCGGTTGAACCACTTTAATTGCACAGTCTGGATTGATGGAGTGGGATGAAGGTGATGGATGTTGTTATGCATGTTAGAGATAAAATGAGGACGATATGTAGAATTTAAGATCTAGATGATATGGAACTACTGACTCAGCCTAAGGCTCACCTTTTCAATTGTTTTCGTGGAAAATTCTGGTTCATACAACAATCGGACTTTTGGTTATTATTAACGGCTAATTAACTCAGATGATTTATTGTTTAAGCAAACGAGACGATTTCATGCAATTATTGTTTTTTTTTATTATTATTATTAAGACAAAGATGGGGGTGGGGGAGCCAAACAGTCGCTTTTACAGTTGGACCGAGGGAACCTGAGCTGGCCCCGTCGGGCACGTCCAGTGGGCCCACAACTTCAGATTTGGCTGTAGTGGGGGCCATGGCCGCACGTCCTTGTCGAAATGTTACGCACACCCTTCGTCCTCTCTCTCTCTCTCTCTGTTTCTTCACATTGAAGCCCACGTGTCCACCAAAAGATGGGCCAAGGATTCAAATAAAGGGGATCAGGTCGTCAATTCACGCGCTGGTGGGCCCACCGCCCCATGTGTTTTCTCCCCAAGGAGGTACTCTGCAAAACGGAATTCAAATTTATGTGTACGTAAATGCCCTCGTCAGGATCTTTTATTGTCGGAAGCATCCCGGATACGGGTAAGCCCCGCACTGCAGTCTTCGTTCTAAAAGCTAAAGCCTGGCGCTGGTCCTCCTCACGCTCCAAAAGTGTTGGGCTGAGGGTATTTACGTCATTTTGAAGTTCTCCACGCCACGTTTTTTTAGTAGGGCGTGTTTGGATTATTAAATTAATTTGCGGGAATGTTCCTTGACAGTTTTAGAGGTAGGCTCTTCTGATCTGATTCTTCGAGGGGAGAACGAGAGAACACGCATCCACTACTTCAATTCTTTGTCACATTGAGTTGAGCAACGAGGTGTGCAACTCTTGAATGCCTCGCCCAAGACACGTGGCGGGACCCATGAGAGGATACACTACCGGACAAAATCATGTAGGTCCCACTCCACCTCCTCTCAAAGGTGAGGTTTCCAAGAATTGCATATACTCGTAGTTTACAAGCATTTCTGATCTGTTTTCCTCGTACAGAGGGAGGAAATAGACAACACAGCTTGAGTATGCTCTAGATTGAAGGGGACCAATGACCAATGTGATTCGGATGTCAAGCCTCAAGATTCTCGACCCGATCCGTTCAGAACTTATGTGGTCGGACCCATCTTACCATAACCCGAAATATAAGGGACCACCGGTTTGCAATATCAAGAATCTTAAACCGCCTCCCTTTATGGAGCTGACCTAGCTCTGAATCAGAATTCAATGAACATATTACAGAACTGACCAACCAACCCGGTTTGTTCAGTCAGGAATCCGGCTAATCTATCCGTTGCAGATGTTCAGGTTGATAATTTCGAATTCAACGTCACTGGACCAGGTAGAACCTGGCCCGGTCCAAATTGCCACTCTCATGGTGGTGATTGCAATTGCATATTCAAATGTCAAAGCTTGTGTTATGGGCAACTGATAACCGGTTTAAAGCTCAACATTCCTGGTCCCCAGGCCCCTTTTATCCGAGATGCAGAGCTCCCATTTATGAACCCTAAAAGACTTTTGGGGGCCGTTTGTCAACAATTAAAGTTGCTGACCTTAATGGTTTATTGTTGGTGATGATTAGGTATGTCAAAGAGTCGGGTTTTGACATTGGGTCCAACCACCAAACCCGGCCTGGCTCGACTAAATCGAATAGGATACCAAACTCGATCTGACCGATATAACCCGCTCCACAAATAGTATACATATACTTAATAAAAGCTATATATATACTCAACGGGTTGGGTTTAAAATGGGTTTATTACTTAATCTGACCCACTGACATCCGTGGTGAGCTTCTAGCTGAAGTTGAAATGGGATTTTTGGACTGCAATCCCCCTCAAAAATATAATTTGCAGCCCCCTCCTAGGTCTATTAGTAGGC